CCAGTTTATCTACTGAGCCTGAATATATTTCACAATTGCCAGAGTGACCAGCAGACTGACGGGGATGGGGTTGGAGCACCAACACGGCACATCCAAGGCTGCGGGATTGGAATCTGTGCAAGAAAATCAGAGGAGCCACCTAACTGCTTCAGACGCTGGGTTTGTTCATCTTTGTTATTCCATTAATAAATTTATAAATTTTCCCCATGAAAATTGTTGTTACAAGAAAATTGTCTAGCTGCAGTGGTTTATGCCTGTAATATCAGCACGTTAAGAGGCCAAAAAGGCAGGATCACTTAAGGCCAGGGGTTCAAGACCATCCTGGGCCATATAGCAAGACCCCACCTATACAAAAATAAAAAAATAAAAGTTAGCCAGGCGTGGGGGTGCACACCTATACTCCCAGATGCTCAGGAGGCTGAGAAGGAAGGATCCCTTGAGCCCAGGAGTTTGAGGCTGCTTGAGCTAAGATCATGCCATGCACTCCAACCTGGGCAACAGAGTGAGATTGTCTCTAAAAAGGAAAATGAATAAATTTTGTAAAAGTGGGCACAAATATGAAATATTTTATGAATATATCAATTAAGTAAACACCAAACATATAATAAGGAATATAGGAATCTTTCAAAATAAATATTTAAAAATATTTCTTTAGAGGCACTGTCGCCCAGGCTGGTGTGTAGTGGCGAGTTCATTACTCACTGCAGCCTGGAACTTTCCGGCTCAAGCAATCCTCCCGCCTCAGCCTTCCACGTAGCTGGGACTACAAATGCATGCCACTGGACCCAGCTAATGTTAAACTTTCTGTAGTGATAAGGCCTGGCTCTGTTGCCCAGTCTAGTCTTGAACTCCTCCCATCTCAGCCTTCTAAAGTGCTGGGGTTGCAGGCCTGAGCTACCGCACCCAACCAACACTCAACACTTAATAACACACACCCGCACACTCAGGGCACTTAGGATGCAGCTTTATGTGTATAAATACTCCTTGAAGAAAAGTAGATACAAATATTACTATGACCCTCCTATGGACACAGAAAACTGAGACAAAATTTTAGTTCTCTGCCATATATGTTTCGTATTTACCTGAGGCATGCTTTACAAAGAACTTAATCTCTACTTTTCCAACCGTTTTTTTTTTTCAGTAGGCAGTTATCTCTGTCATGTTATTAGTATAGCAATATCACCCAACCCAGGTATCTCTATAAAAAAGACCTTCTTCGAGAAAACCAAATAAGTCTACATTCTCTCTACCACCTCCTTCTAGCTAGTGTATTCCTCCTCTCTGCCACACTCTCTCCACATATTGATGCACCATCCACATCCATGAATCATCATAGAGTCTTAGAATCTTCCCACTGCCTTTCAGCCATACTCTCTGTACTCATGAATGTCTTCTATCACCTGGTCTGAACCACATACAGTGTTGCAAGTTAGAAAGATGCAAGCCATTCACTGTTCAAATCTCGAAATCAGCTCTTTCTTCAGTATAACCTTCTGTCAATCCTAATCTTCACATTCATTCCTCACACATTCTTATGTCAGAGTGAAGGATAGTTCAAGAAGAAAGGATGTTAAACACATAAGGTGTTTTAGTCTTCCTATCACTACACTGGATATGCAGGAAGCAAGACCACAATGTTAACTGGCCACTGGTTGTTTAAATAAGAGTTTTTATTGAACATAGGGATTGTTGTTGTGCTAGAGGCATTCTTCATGCCAAGTGATATGAAAAATATGCAAGGGCGAGTAGTTGCAAACAATGCTAGAAAGATGGAATAATTAAGAATATTACATGATCTGACGAAAGTAAAGCCTACCGATTAATTACCCTCTGATTAGAGAATGAAAAATGACGTTTACTGAATCTTACTTCTCATTGCGACACTCCAAACTCACCCGTCCAAGTTGATCATTAAGAATATCTTCCCCTCTCTTAT